GAAATGTAGCAATTATTTTGGGGGCGTTCCATCCTGTGCAGAATTTCTTTGTATTTGTGATGGCGCACAGCATTATGCCTTTGGTAAACGTAGCTAACACTTGCTAATCTCTGTTTTTAACAAAGAGAATGCCTCAGAGTGAGAGCCCAGGGATGGCTACCTTGAGTTGAATGACATGATTTTATTTTTATTATGTTTAATTTATGTAGTTATTCCTTTTAGGCAAGTAATGCTAAGTTTCCATATACACTAGTAATGCAAACCTTCCTTTAAAAATAAATGTATCTAACTAAAATAAATCAATTTAAAGAAAAATATTAAGTAAATGGATAGATGATATATGGCTCTAAGAAAAAACCCATAAAGGTGATATATTAATGCTCAGGCTTAGGGAATATTTTTAAGTATTCAGTGCCCTTCTGAGCTTTTGTCCTATTTTTTAAAATGTTCTCTCATGCATTAGTAACCTAGGCAAGAAGATATGTACCATATGTGTGAAATGAATTATCCATATTAGGAAACAAAATTTTGAGTACGTGTAAGTCAGGTATTCCCTTCAAAACAAGCAAAGGCCAGCTAGTCAGAATGTTGTGGTAATTCCCTTCAGCTAAAGATTAGACAGCCCCATAAAACAAAACAAGACTAATGGGGCACAACAATCCAGAGACCAGGACTAGAAGGCAGGAGGGGACAGGACAGCTGGTAATAGGGAACCCAAGGTTGAGAAGGGCCAGTGTTGGCACGTCATGGGGTTGTTAACCAAGGTCATAAACAATATGTGTACTAACTGTTTACTGTGAAACTATTCTGTAAACCTTCATCTAAAGTACAATAAAATAAATAAAAAGAATGTTGTGGTAATAAATAACCCCAATATTTCAGAGCAGAGTAAAACAGAGCCTCATTTTTTAAAATAGATTTTAGACAGAGACTCATTTCTTGATCACATGTCTAACAAGGCTTTTTAGCCGGGGCCTCTGCTCATTGTAAGCACTCGAACACAGCCTGTCGGAGCCTTTCGACAGCCATCAAGACAGAGAAGAGGAAGAGACGCCTCACGCATTGGCTTCTAAGGCAGCTGTCACTTCTGCTCTAATTCCGCTAGCCAAAGCAAGTCACATGATCACCTTAACTTCAAATCCATTGCTGTTGGGTCAATTCCAACTCACAGTCGACCCTATAGGACAGAGTAGAACTGCCCCATAGGGTTTCCAAGGAGCAGCTGATGGATTCAAACTGCCAAGCTTTTAGTTAGCAGCCCTAGCTCTTAACCACTGCACCACCAGGGCTTCCTTAACTTTAAAGGGGGCAGGAAAGTGCAATATTACCATGTGTTCAAAAGGCTGAAGAGTCCAATATTTGGTGAAGAACAGTAGTGACTATAACACCATCCAGCAAAGACTATAAACAGTTCCATCCTCTAGATGGAGCCATGCAGCTGAGCATCTGTTTGGGAGGTCAGCTGCAGTAGAGTCAGATTTGTGTGTACAACTCCCTCGACCTCTTTATTTGCTACGAGTTGGAATCAACTCGACAGCAAAGAATATATATATATATGTATATATGTGTGTGTTTGTATATATGTACATACATATATTCAGAAAAGGAGTCTTGGGTGGTGCAGACAGGTAACACACTCCGCTGCTAACTGAAAGGCTGGAAGTTTGAGTCCATCCAGAGAGGCACCTTGCAAGAAAGGCCTGATGATCTGCTTCTGAAAAATCAACCATTGAAAAACCTCTGGAGTACATTCTACTCTGAAACACATGGGTCGCCGTAAGTTGGAATCAACTCAATGGCAAGGGCTTTATAAACAGAAAACCCGAAATGTAATAATTGCTACAAGTGGATAAAATCAGTCCTTCACGCTGGACTGATTTGTTGCCTAATCAGATCCTGAGACGTTTCCATAACTGATCATAAAACTGACATCCTTCATAATCGGCAAGTACTTTATTTGGTCACTTCACTTCCACAGATATTTATGGGCCTCACAGATGGGTATAGTTCACTTTAAGTATTTCCAGTGAGCACAACTTGGGTTTCTCCCAAATTTGCCTGAAGCCTTTTCTGGCTCAGTTTTCCCTTTCTTGACTTCGGCTGCTGGCATTTCCTAACACCTTCTGTAATATTGATCGGCGTTTGAGAGTCCTTCTCTTCTCTGATCACCCCCTGATCGCAGCCTTCACCTTTTCCTTTCCTCTAGTATATGTCACCATGACTTTCCAGCACCTTCTTTACAGAGTCTCTGCTTTGTATTGAAGAGTATTGAGAAACAAAGGCTCTATTCTCTAATGTGACTGAGTTCAGGGACACTTACAGGCTCTGTGGAAATTTGTGCAGTACCGAAAGTTTCCCTTACCTGGGCTAATACATAAATTGTCGTAATTTAATTATGTTTTATCCAACCATGACACATACTCGATTAAATCAGTGATCCTGATAGTATGTTTTAAATGGAGGAATGTAATACCTTAAATTTATGCAATGCTTTATAACTTAGAGTACTTTCATATGAATTATATTTATTCCTTATAGTCTCAATGGTGTTCAATGTTTATTATCTCCTTTTAAAATCACAGAGAGGCCAGGTAATTTTCTCAAGGTTAACCAGCTACTCAGTACTGATAGTGGAACTATAACCAGAATGATAATTTCATATCTAGGACTTTTTCAATTTTTCCATGCTATCACCCATAACTTACAAACATTAACAAAACTATAAAAATTTAAGACTGATCTTACCTGTCTGTTTATACACCTTCCTTATTTATTTTGAGGCTAGTCCAGCACCCTCATGTGCTATGTCAGGCAGGTAGAAATTATGCCATTTTTTAATTTCATTTAATTTTTTAGGCTTACTCTTGGCTACAGTACTAAAGAAAAATAATTTACAGGTACATTAGGGTATTTCAGGTTCAATATTTCAGTCCAATACATATTATTGGGTATTTACTGTATAATAGGCACTGGAACTATAACAATAAACAAAACAGACATAGTCCTTGCCCTTATGAAGCTTTAAGTCTAATGGAGAAAGCAATCAGAATAGGTGAAGAGAGCTACAACACTAATAGATATCATCCTTTCCTTTCAGTGCTTATCTTCAGGCATTGCACATTTTCCCTCTTTCATTGGTGAGGAAACCGAGCAAACAAATAAGAGCAAATAACTTGCCATATGATACACAGTCAGTGATAGAAGTAAGACTTAAATCCAGATGCTCTGTAATAGAGGTTGCTACTTTTTGGAAAGCATGGTGGTGCAGTAGTTAAGAGCTATGGCTGCTAACCAAAATGTTGGCAGTTTGAATCCACCAGCCACTCCGTGGAAACTGTATGGGGCAGTTCTCCTCTGTCCTGTGGGGTCTCTATGAGTCGGAATTGACTGGACGGCAACGGGTTTTTTTGTTTGTTTCCTTTTTGGATACTAGAGGGTTGATGTCAAGGATAACACAGATTACTTCATATGACAAGGGATAGTGTAAGGAAATCCAAACAACTTTGTTCTAAAGTTCTAAATTTAGCACCTCCTTTTGCTCTTTTTTTTTTTTAAAAAAAAAAAAATGTTTTATCGTGTTTTTGGTGAAGGTTTACACAGCAGTTTAGGTTCCCATTCAACAATTTCTACACAAGTTGTTCAGTAACGCTGGTTACATTCTTCACAATGTGTTCACATGCTCATTATTTCCATTCTATTTATTCTGTTTCCATTAATCTAGTTTCCCTGCTCTCCTACATTCTTATCTTTGTTTTAAAGTAATTGTTGACTGTTTGGTCTCATGTAGGTGATTTTTTAAAGGAGCACCGTACTATTTGGTGACTTCCACGTAATTTCATTCATCTACTGGGTCGCTATGAGTCGGAATTGATTTGGTAGCAATTTTTTTTTTTTTTTTTAGGGTGTTTAAATTTAGATTAGTGCCTATATCACAAGGATTCACCCTAAATGAATGAAATTACATGAAAGTCACCAAGGAGAAAAATATATTATCATGATAAATAGGAACTTACTTAATGAGGGCAGGGGTTGAAAATAAGTCAAAAGGAATTCACTGTGAAAACTGGCCAATTTCCTACTAGAGTGTATAAATTTTTCACAGTTTTCTCCGGTACTCTCCTAGTCTCCTACACTTGTCTTACCAAGTGGGCTAACAGAAATGGTTATCAGCTCAGCTCTGATTAGAGACAAGAGATAATAACTCATGACCAGAGCTATCTTCCCCAACATATATTTACAATGAATCTTTAAATATTCAAAGAGAAATGAAGAAAAGTAACATTAGTTGATTCCTTCTCAGGAACGGAGACTTGGTGGCACAGTGGTTAAGTGTTCAGCTGCTCACCAAAAGATCAGCAGTTCAAATCCACCAGCCGTCCCCCAGAAACCCTATGGGGCAGTTCTCTTCTGTCCTGTAGGGTCACTATGAGTCGGAATCGACTCAATGGTAACAGGTTTTGGTTTTCTCAGGAACGGTAGGCACTTCACATTTATTACTTCATCTTTCAGCAGCTCTTTGAGGTAGGTGGTATAGCCCCATTTTACAGATAAATAAAGTGAGAATAGCAGACTACACTCTTCTTTGCCCACCAGATTTAACTACTTTGCTTTAGTTTACACAGGGAAAGAGATGTATTCAAACTCAGGTCTGTCTTCTTTCCAAAGCACATATCTGGCCTCTGGTTGAAAAACTACATATTAAATTCCCAAAGTGTACTTTATTAGTGGTTTGCTTTCCTATTTCTGAGTTTCCTGCTTGATGTGTGTTTACTTGTTGTGTGTGCTAGTAGGAAAAGTGGCTTGCTATATGGTGTCCACTGTTCTCATCCACAATAACGGCAGAAAGTCTTTCTTCTAACTTGGGGCCACTTTCTATAGATTCAGTATACATACTTGGTTTATTCCAAGAGAGTTTAGAATGTTATCCTGGAATCTCTGCATTTCCTTGTCAAGGAAAATAAAATCACACCCAACTTTTTGCACCATTTGCTTTTTTCCAGACTACTGTCAGAGGATGTAGGAATGGACACCCCTTTTGAAGAGGGAATGCTGAGCCCCAGTGCTGCAGACATGAGGCCTGGTGAGAGGAGCATTTGCTCATTTTCTGCACCACTATCCTACACCCAGACATTTTTATTATTCAGTGAGGACCATTTCCTGTGCATCCAACTTGTGATTTCAGTGAGAAAAGTGAAGAAGAAGAAAAAAAAAGAAGTGGGAAGGAAGGTGTTAGGCTTGATTTGGTTAATTTTAGAGTTGACTTGAATATTGATGCTCACTAGAGTGGGTCACAACCTCGTCTTCCAGTATTTTCAGTTTCTGTGGTAATTGGCAACTGTATATATATCATAATGTCAAATTCTGACTAAAGTTTAAGCTCACCTCATTTACTCTTAAGAGTAAGAATGTTTAAAATTGGAAATGTGGTATCAAGAATACTGAGTATCCTAATTATTTTTTAAAAAAAAAAAACAAAACCTACACTGTAAGTGTTTATGACTCAAGGCCTATATAAAAAAAAATTAATTTGCAGTTTCAACCTGTATGATTCCCACTGGGTATAAAGGTCACTTCCTTGTACTGCACCAGCTTCAGAATCATACCAAGAGATGCATTTCTGCTGAACCCTGGTATTATCAGCCACACCTGGGATGGGGTAGGAAGGAGGGAAGCAATTACATTTTTTTCTGTCCTACGGTTTCCCAAAGTGTGTTCTTCAAAATACTGGTCATGTGACATAATTTTTCTTTTAATATTCTTTGGTCAAATCAGCTTGATAACCACTGCACACCTCCACCACACTCCAAGATTCTCGGTGCACCTTTGAATAATAAAGGCCGTAGGCAGCCAGTGGAGTAGCCACTAGCCACATGTGGCCATTTAAATTAATTAAAATTAAAAATAAATTTACAAAATTCATTTCTTCAGTTACACATTTCAGGTGCCCAATAGTCATATATAGAACATGTCCATCATCACAGAAAATTCTGTTGGACAGCACTCCACTAAGAATTCCTGCAATGAAGCAACTGGTTTAACTTCTTCAAATCCAGTGTTACTTCAACTTATCGGTCAATAGAAACTTTTTTTCTTTCAAGTAACACATAAAAACATTACATGGAACACAGCTTGGGTGATGTTCTATAGAAAAGAAAAATCTTAACGACAAAGGAATTGTGTCAGCTTCCTTAGGACGAGACCAGAGTTGGAATTCTGGAGTTGAGGGAGATGGCAGATGACTTTCAGAATACTTCTTGCCCAGGAATCCTATGAATTCTGTTTTTAGGCTGTCTCTCTACCTTTGATTAGTTAACATGGACTGGTTTGAAAATGAAATGAAATGAAATGGAGAAATGAAAATTTCTCCAACATTGCTTCTGTTAAATGAAAGACGCATGTACAGCAAAGTGCATACCACAATGAAAAGGTGCGAGCTACCTCCATGAGCCTTAATATAAGAAGATCATCATTTACGATATGGGAACCGCTGTCAGGCAATATTGGCATAAAAGATAGTGACTGCTTAGGAAGGTTCAAAAATGAAACCTGGGAAGATATCTCTGGTATTATAAAAAAGAGAAAGCCAGCCAAGGAAAGGTCACTGACAATCATACACAGAATTTTCAGGAACTGACAAGAAGCATTCTGGGAGTATCTGTGTACATAACAGATGAAGTTCTTATCTTCCATTCCATAGAAGCAAAGTCTACATGAATCATTAGAAAGTCTGTGTAACATTAACTATTGATTTTGTGCAATATGCACCATAAAATTCAATTTAATATTATAGCAGTCAAGTTCTCAGATTAGAACAGGGCAATTCTAAAAATTAGTTTTCTACTCATTTATTAACGGCTCCTGCTTCCTGTAGCTACATGGCCCAGGGATGTGGGGAGTGGGTCTAGTACTGGAGCCTACTGGTGAAGAAGGGAGCCAAAATCCCATGTAATAAGCATTTTTAGCGGATCTGCCTTTGATGGAAGGGCCTTAAATGTTTTTCACTAGGGCCCACACTCACTCTTTGCAGCCATGTATATGGCCTGATACTTAATGTTGCCACTCTTTGTCCTCTTTAGAACCTCCTAATTCTCTGGATCTCAATGGCGCTCATCCTCAGAGAATCAAGCTTACAGCCCCAAATATCAACCTTTCTCTGGATCAGAGTGAAGGGTCTGTTCTCTCTGATGATAATCTAGACAGTCCAGATGAAATTGATATCAACGTGGATGAACTCGATACCCCTGATGAAGCAGACTCTTTTGAATACACTGGGCATGGTAAGTTGCCAAGTTGGCAAGGCCAAAGTACAATGAAGAGTAAGAGATTAACTAAGTGGCATTAGGGACAAGCCTCCCATTTTGATGCCAGTGGCTCCTTTCTGTGATTTCTAGGAGCTTCTGTTTGTATCTCGGGTCATAGTTGGCCATGATTGATGGTTTAGACCTTGATGGGGCAGACATGGTTCACAGAGGTCATCCATAGCCATTGCTCTTTTGTTAATCCCCTACTCTCTCCTAGGCCTTGTGCTAGGTACTGGGTGTGAGGAAGACTATTATATGCTGTGTTACAACAAAATTGGGGCTGGGTTTGGAGAAAGGGATAATTTCCTCTGGAAGATAAATTTTCAAGCAGGGCAATCAGTTCTTATCAATTCCTTGTACAAGTTTCCACTGTCTGGAGTGTTCTTTCCCCACATGTCTGGCTCCTTCTCTTACTTCAGACCTTAATCAGATGTCATTTCCTCAGAGATGTTGTCCTTGAACTCTGTAATCAAAGGCAGTCCCTATCCACCCCTTCCACCACCCAGTCACTCTCTATCCCAGTATTCATTTTCCACGTCTCACTAACTGACATCATATTATTTAACTAATTTGTTTGTTTGCTGGTTTGTTGTCTTTCTTTTCCCACTAGAACATATGCTTCATGAGGGTAGGGACTTTATTTTGTTTGCTGCTGTATCTCCAATAAAGAAGGAAGGAAAGAGGGACAGATGTAGCAAGAAAGGAAATAAAAAGAAAGAAAATTTTTAGTTGCCAGGTCAAAGACTGACACTCCTGATATGAAAATCAGTTCACTGTAGTTCTTTCTCTGGCTCAGAAATTTGATTCATTAAGAAGTATGTGCATGGTCTCAGGAAGCATCTAGCTCAATTGGCATAACACAGTTTCTAAAGAAAATATTCTACTTTCTACCTTGGTGAGTAGCATCTGGGGTCTTAAAAGCCTGTGAGCAGCCTTCTAAGATACTCCACTGGTCTCACCCCTTCGGAAGCAAGAGAGAATGAAGAAAACAAGATACAGGGGAAAGATTAGTCCAAAGGACTAATGGACCACAACCCTCACAGCCTCCGCCAGACTGAGTCCAGCACAACTAGATGGTACCTGGCTACCACCAGTGACTGGTCTGACCGGGATCACAACAGAGGGTCCCGGACAGAGCTTGAGAAAAATGTAGAACAAAATTCTAACTCACAAAAAAAGACCAGACTTGCTGGCCTGACAGAGACTGGAAAAACACCAAGGGTATGGCTCCTGGACACCCTTTTAGCTCAGTAATGAAGTCACTCCCAAGGTTCACCCTTCAGCCAAAGATTAGACAGGCCCATAAAACAAAATGAGACTAATGGGGCACAACAGTCCAGGGGCAAGAACTAGAAGGCAGGAGGGGACAGAAAAGCTGGTAATAGGGAACCCAAGGTCGAGAAGGGAGAGTGTTGACATGTCATGGGGTTGTTAACCAATGCCATAAGACAATATGCGTACTGTTTAAGGAGAAACTGTTTGTTTCTCATTCATCTAAAGTACAATAAAAAAATTAAAAAAAAAAAAAAAGATGTGCAAATGCAAAGCATTTGCTTGAAAAGTAGCATCATGTAGTCTCTGCTTCACTATAAGCCAGGGTAGCATTCTCTGAAGTTAAAATATTTAAAAAGGAGCTGTGGATGCTGCTATTGTTGAAACTCTTCTAGTCTTAAAAAAGCAATACCACAATTAAATGATGCCCTGACTCTTAGAGTCATGCTAATTCCAGCAATTTCACTCACAGGAGAAAATAAATAGGAAATTCATCCACTTAGTTAATTCAGCCAATGGTCATTGAGCCACTGGGACTATAGCCATGAGCAGCACAGATTCAGACTCTACCTTTGCAGAGCTGAGGGCTTTGTTTCTCCATGTTAAAAAAAAAAAAAAGGAAGTGCCTAAAAGTACTTGTTCTACAACTTATCATGTTTAAATAGAGATTTTATGCTGCATTTTTGTCATATTCATGAATTTCTATGGTTATCTGGATACTTGACCCTGTAGCTCAAAATGCATGAATAGGAGGTGAAAGAAGCTCTTGAATTCATATCCTTTTCTGCCATCCAAGGGACTCTTCCCCAGCTGCTGTACCCGTCCCAGCTGCCCTCAGCTATCCCAGCTGCCCCAGCTGCTCCTGTCACCCCCACCCTTTTCTGGCTAATATATTCTCATGTAGGAATCATGCCTTTACTGAAAATCCCACAGGAGACAGCTGTGACTGACCCCACTGGTCCCTTCCTCTCCTCCCTCTGAAACATCACTGTTGCCCTGGAGAGCTATGTCACGCTACATTTGACTCTTTTATTTTTATAAATAGTAAAACTGCCAAGCAGAGTGATCGTGGTGAAGCAAACTGGTAATTAAAGCTGTTGCTTGCTGACATAGTTCTTCTTGTTTAGTTGACACAGTTATGCTGAAAGAACCAGTTTAATGGCCACAGCCCTACTTTTAGGTCTTAAATGACAGAATTGTAATGTAAGTTGAATTTTACAGTTCCCCTTGCTTTTCAAATGAAAGGATTGTTCATACACAGTTTTAAATAAACAAAAGTAGATAAAATATTGAAACCACAAAGTACATCTATCGGTAATTAGTAAGCGTGCAGACATAGATAAATAACTAGATAAGAGGCATGGGATATAAATATATTTTAGTCCTGAAGTATGAAATAAATGCTTGAAAACTACATGTTTTTTCAGATTTCTCATGTGAGCACTTTGAACTAGGCATATGCATACTAAATAAAATTGGAGTTTTTAAAGTATGGTTGTTCAAAAGCATTTGGTTAGTATTTATTTTATTTAACAACACTTTCATAGTACTTCATATGTTCCAGGTTCCAATCTAGGTGTTTTATAAATATTAACTAGTTTAATCCTCATACGAACTAAGTGAGCTAGGTACTACATTGTTTTCCCCTACTTTATGGATGCGAACACTGAGGCACAGAGAAGTTAAATAATTTGCTTAAGGTCACACAGCTAGTAAATGGCAGAGCCAACGTTCAGACCCAAGGTTGGTGCCCTTGACCCCTGAGCCATGCTACTTCCCTAAAAATATACTAGCAACGAATAGGAGAGGATGTTTTACTAAATTAGACTAACATATCTGAAGCCATGCCTGATAGCCCACTCTCACCATCGTCCATTTATCCAGCCATTTTCATGACTTGAGGACTCTTCCTTAACCAAGTGCCTGGAGGATCGTCATACCATTTTCCTGTTTTATTCAGTAGTTGATGACCGAACACTTCTACAGGAATATTTGCCTATAGTGCAATTTTGCTTATAGAAAAATTTTAACTCTCATTATCAAAAGGTGTTATTAAATTGGTCTTCGCTGCAAGCAGTTTTCTTTAATAGTTGTGTCCAAACAGTTGAAGAATATAATTTAAGATACTATTATAATTAATTAAGGGGCCCTGGTGGCGCAGTGGTTAACAGCTTGGCTGCTAACCAAAAGGTTGGCAGTTTGAATCTACCAGCTGCTCCTTGGAAACCCTGTAGGGAAGTTCCACTCTCTCTTACAGGGTTGCTGTGAGTCACAATCAGTTTGATGGCAATGGGTTTGGTTTTCTTGTTTTTTTATAATTAAGGAGCCCTGGTGGCGCAGTGGTTAAGAGCTTGGCTGCTAACCAGAAGGTCGGCAGTTCAAATCCACCAGCTGCTCCTTGGAAACCCTATGGGGTAGTTCTATTCTGTCCTGTAGGGTCGATATCAGTCGGAATTGACACAATGGCAACAGGTTTAGTTTGGTTTTATTATAACTAAGGCTCGATTGTCTTTAATACTTATAAATACAAAAGGTATCAGAAATAAGCAGATAGTGAAGGACTTACGAGGCATTTCATAAGGGAAATGGAAAAATGATAAATAATTTTAGCCTGAACATTTCTGACAAGAATATTATAAAAAGAATTGTAAAAACTCCCCTGCTCTCAGATTTTTGCATCACTTGGCTGTCAAGTGATGTTTAGTGGCCTCGTTTAAGCTATCTACCTTTTCTAAAACTAACCTCTAACAACAGACAGCTTTCTGTGTGGATAAGGCACACTGACATTATTTCCAGGGAATCAGGGAGTCACTTCACTTAACTGCCCTATCTGCAGTCTTCCCTATATTCAAACCTACAGGCAACCAGCTTATAAAATTGATTCCATGTTTTAACTCTGCATATAAACTTACTGAGGGTTGAGAGCGTATTTTGTTTCATCCACAAGCAACCTTTTGTCTGAAAGGATGATTTATCTTTGTATTTTTGTATGCTGACATTTTATACTCAAATTAACTGCTTGGTTGCACTTTGTCACCAAAAGAATTTTAAGGACTTCTAAACTGTCTACAGGATGTCCTTTCTATAACAAGGCAAACCTCAAGCATAACGTCTTCTAAGAGTATTCCCATTGTAAGTGCAAGCTCACAATATGAAAAGCTAGCCACGTTTCACAAATACATGTCCCTTTTAGGAGGCCACAGTTGACATCATCACTAGTCAGTCTACAATGAATACCAATAATGGATTCTCCTGTTGTGGTCTGTGTGGTATAGAACATTCAAGAATTTGTGTGCTCAGTCATCTCCCACAAAAGACAAGATGAAATAAATGTTCAAGTTGACTTTCCCCCGTGTACTCAGGGCTTAACTGACTTCAACAGTTCCTGGGGAGAAAAAGCTTGTCATTGAGAAAAGGAGCCAAAGGGAATCAAGCATTTCTTAGTGAAGAGGGCATGAGACCCAAGATTAAATTTGGAGGGCCTAGGGATAGAAAGTTAAATGAGACCTGAAATTTTTGAAAATAGCAGGCAAATGGTAGCTGGGGGGAAGCATGGTAATAATATAGTTACAGCAGAAGGTATTACTAACTCAAGGGAGTAAATAAAGCTATCTTTACCTCTTATTAGTTTCTGTTGTTGGCTTCTAGAGAGGAACACCTTAAAAGAACTTACTGCACCCTTGCTAGTAAATAACTTTCTTTTTTTTCCCCCATTCACTTAAATCAGAAGAGATGAGGAAGGAGAAGTAGTTCTAGCAACTCGCCAGCTTCAAGTCTCTGGAACTCTAGGAAAAACACTTGATACAAAGGTTCTACCCCAAACTTTTATAGCAAAATGGCTAATAATCCTGTTTTTTTAAAAGAAACCGTAAGAAAATGCTCATTGTGTTTGTGTGTGTGTGTGTGTGTGTGTGTGTGTGTTTGTGTGTGTATACATAGTTTTAAGGTAGAGATGTCCTTTCTTATTGTAATAAGATAATAAAAAACATAAGGGAAAAAATCAACAGATACAACTATATACAAATATTATTTTCTTATTTGGAAAAAAAAATTATAAATTTAAAAGCTAACCACAAGCCAGGAAAATCATTGTAACACATGACAAAATTCTATATAAAGAACATGAACAAATCAACAAGAACCACAATAGGCAAAGGATTTGACAGGTACCTCCCCATCAGTAGGAGAAACAGAAATAGCCAATACACATTTTAAAATTCTCGCCTTTCTTAATAATTAAAGAAATTCAAATTAAAATAGCAATGAGACAGATTTCACCCTGAATTGTCAGGGGTTAAAAACGTTGCTAACTTCCAGTGGGTTTGACAGTGTAAGGAAGCAGGCACTCTCGTACATTTTGGTGTGACACAGTCAAGGGCAAAAATGTCTGTAACGACTTTAAATGCTTATACCCTCTGATCTAGAACTCCATTGCTAGAAAGTTCCCTGATAGCAGGCAGTATGTGTACAAATGAGCTAAAATACCCACACAGCGATACCTACTGAAGCATATTCTTTATAAGCAACAACTACAACAACAAAATGGAATAAAACTAAATTTTGATCACTATGGGATTGCTAAACTAAAAAGACATCAGTAAAATGGAATACCCCAAGGCTATTTTTTAAAATAAGCAGGATTTATAGTTACTGAGATGAAAAGAAGCCTATGCTATATTATATTATTGTGCTATGCAAGTTATGGAACAGTATAGAACATATAGAATTATGGAATAATTTGGAAAAACGTGTGTGTGTATGCGCTCATACGAATGGTACACGTCAAACAGGGTAGAGTAGCCTTGGGGATTTCAACTGTACTCTTTAACAATTTCTGCATTGCTTGCATTTTTACTAGTGTATTTTATAACCGGAAAAAAGAATATGGTATACAAAAAAATTTTTAAGGTGGCAGCTCAATAAAAGCATGCACAAAACAAAACAAAACAAAACAACCCTACCCTCACCTCACACAGATCACAAGGATCAAGCTAGAGCAGGCCAGAAAGTCCCAAACACAATGGTAGTGGTTAAAAGCTGTGGCTGTTAACCAAATGGTTGGCAGTTTCAATCTACCAGGTGCTCCTTGGAAACCCTATGGGGCAGTTCTACTCTGTCCTGCAGGGTCACTATGAGTCAGATCAACTTGATGGCAACGGGTTTGATTTTTTACTATGCAGATAAATGGTAGATATTTAACAGATTGTTGCTATTATCATTATCAAAGTCCCTAGGTGGAGCAAATAGTTAATGCACTAAGGTGCTCAGCTGCTAACCAAAAGGTTGGATGTTTAAGTGCACCCAGAGGTGCCCCAAAAGAAAGTCCTGGCAATGTACTTATGAAAACTCAGCCACTGAAAATCCTGTGGTGCACAGTTCTACTCTGACACACATGGGATCACCATGAGTTGGAATCTACTCAACGGCAGCTGGTTTCTTATTTTTTTAATTTTTTTTTTGTTGTGCTTTAAGTGAAAGTTTGCAATTCAAGTTAGTGTCTCATACAAGAATTTATACATACATTGTTATGTGACCCTAATTGCTCTCCCTATACTGTGACAGCACACTCCTCCTTTCCACCCCTGATTTCCCGTGTCCATTCAACCAGCTCCCGACCCTCTCTGCCTTCTCCTCTCACCTCCAGACAGGAGCCACCCATTTAGTCTCATGTATCTACTTGAGCTAAGAAGCACTCCCTTCATGAGTCTCATTTTATGTCCCATAGTCCAATCTAATCTTTGAAGAGTTGGCCTCAGGAATAGTTTTAGTTCTGAGTTGACAGAGAGTCCGGGGGCCATGCTTTCTGGGGTTCCTCCAGTATCAGTCAGACCGTTAAGTCTAGTCTTTTTACTAGAATTTGAGTTCTGCACCCCACTTTTCTTCTGCTCCATCAGGGACTCTCTGTTGTGTTTCCTGTCAGGGCGGTCATTGGTGGTAGCTGGGCACCATCTAGTTCTTCTGATCTCAGGCCAATGAAGTCTCCAGTTTATGTGGCCCTTTCCATCTCATGGGCTAATACTTTCCTTGTGACTTTGGTGTTCTTCATTCTCCTTTACTCCGGGTGGGTTGGGACCAATTGATGCATCTTAGATGGCCGCTTGCTAGCTTTTAAGACCCCAGACACCACTCACCAAAGTAGGATGCAGAACATTTTCTTAATAAATGTTGTTATGCCAATTGACCTAGATGTCCCCTGAAAGCATGGTCCCCAGACCCCTGCCCCTGCTACTCTGTTCCTTGAAGTGTTTGGTTGTATTCAGGAAACTCCTTAGCTTTGGTTTAGTCCAGTTGTGCTGATGTCCCCTGTAGTGTGTGCTGTCCTTCCCTTCACCTAAGATAATTCTTATCTACTATCTAGTTAGTGAACAACCCTCCCCCTCCCTCCCCACCCTCGTAACCATCAAAGAATGTTTTATTCTGTGTTTAAGCCTTTTCTTGAGTTCTTATAATAGTGGTCGTATACAATATTTGCTCTTTTGTGGCTGACTGAATTCACTCAGCATAATGCCTTCCAGACTCCTCCATGTTATAAGATTCAGCAGCTACTGGTTTTTATTGTATTATCAAAAGTGTCATAAGAGGAAAAAGAAAAGTTAAGTACAGTGTAAATTCAAAAGTCCTTTCCCATGAGTGGAAAAATAAGAACGGTAATATATCACAGCATTATTGTGAAGGTTATAACCATTTTCTTCAAATTACTTAAATATAAAAAGAATTACTATTGTTAAATTCTATTAGTAGAAACAGAAACAATTGCTAGTTATTAAGAATCATAACTTGGATACTTTTGTTGTTTGCACAAGAGTGAGTAGTAAGTTTTTCCCAAAGAATGTTCAGTGGGCTTTTTTATTGCCTTATGCACCCATAAATTTGAGTGTTGTGAATTTTTGGCCTTAAAGCACTTCTGGTCTACAAAGTTGCTTGATTCTCACTACTGCTAAAGCTTTCTGTAGCATTTTTTGAAACAGAAGCCAAAGCAAATTTATGTCCAAATGTGCTCCCTATAGGGAAGTGGGTTCAACTTGTTGTAAGAGCCTTGGTCAGGGGTCTAGACTGCCAGCATCCTCAAGACGTCAAGCTCAGGGCCTCCGAAAGACTCTGAACACTCAGGATAGGACAGGAAATATGGCCAAAGGAAACTAGGATTATATAGGCTTGATTGATAGCCCTTCACCCCATCTGAAAGACCTGCAGTCTTTAACTGCATCATCAAGGATGAATTGGTACCAACCTGTACTCCATTGGACAGACAGCACAAGACCAGTTCTAGCCCTGCGCCTACCCCCACCCTCTGCTTGGCCATTTTTAATTGTTTCAATCAGTCAATAAATAAGACTTCACTGAGTGTCTTCTCTGTGGTCAGGACGATGTTAAGCTATATTAGGGCTCTACAAAATTGGGAGCTCTCTGAGGTTGTTCACAACCTAGTCATTTAACTGCCTCAGCTGTGGAGGTCTTGCTCCTTCAGCCCTGCTCTGTGCTTCATTTCCAGAGGATCTCACAGCCAACAAAGATTCTGGTCAAGAGTCAGAGTCTATTCCAGAATATACGGCAGAAGAGGAGCGGGAGGACAACCGGTTGTGGAGGACTGTGGTGATCGGAGAACAAGAGCAGCGGATTGACATGAAGGTCATCGAGCCCTACAGGAGAGTCATTTCTCACGGAGGTAGTCAAACTTTGTGCAATCCTGGGAATGGGGAAATGGGGCAGCCGTATTATTTTTATTAGAAAACAAAACTAAGGTCCTTTGTAGCATGACATCCCAATGTCCCTATTCGTGAACAGTCAATGTTCATGGGAACTGTAGGGCTAAGTACATTACTTCGTACTCGATTGATTATACATGTGAAAGCCTGCTATGTAAAAATAACTTTCCAGTGTAAAAACTGCTTTTCACACCACATATCTGATGTTATAATTTTCTGAGCAAGTTTGCTGAAAGCCATAGCTGTCCAATTTAATAATGTCTATTTGGAATTCATATCAGCTGGTAATAGGGTTTAATGAAGTATTTCTACAGTATGTAACACTGTGGCTTATAGTAAGATCATTACACCAGAGGTGCTTCTAATTATACAACGGTCTTTTGAATCCTCTTCAGAAGCTTTAGGAAATCTTTTCTAGCCTCAACCTGGTGTTTTTTTTTTTTTTTTTCTGTATTTGAAGTTTGCTTTTCTATAAACTTCTTTAAATCTATGCCTGACAACAGCCAGCCCCAGTCAAAGCCTCTACCTGCTAAGTGACGGACAAGAGGGAGAGAAAAGCTGTATTTTGTATTTCCATTGCCGTCTTGGGGCTCCAGGAGCATATGTAGCCTTGATAAATTTGGGGTTCACAAGTCAGATGAGCATAAGCAACACATTCAACATCGTCGGCTTGAGAAAACATAAACAGCGTCTTGATTTTCTGCTGCATGCATTGCTTTCCTGCAGTCCTGAAGCACCACCCTCACCACCCAGCTGCTCCAGAAAATGTGTAAGCTGACAAGGCAATCGTTGTTCCCTAAATTCTCTCTTCCTTAATTAGGACAGGGAAATAAGCATCTTGCCACTGCATTAAACTCATAGCTTCTGTTTTCTAACAAGCAGAGAACATTTTGTTATTTCAATCAAGCTTCCCTCTGCCAGCAGAATTTCCACCCTCTGTCCTATGTGTTACTACCTCAGTGTAGGTAATAGGACCACCCAGAAAACCCAACCGTGACAGCGAAGGAAAATGCCAGTGGGTGCCCTTGGCCATCACCTTCTTTTTTTTATTGCCTCGCTATTTGACTGGTGTCCCTGGGTGGTACAAATACTTAACACACTTGATTGCTAACCAAAAGGTTAGAGGTTCAAGTCCACCCAGAGGAACCTCAGAAGAAAGGCCTGGCCATCTACTTCCAAATAATCAACTGTTGAAAACCATATGGAGCACAGTTCTACTCTGACACACATGAGGTTGCCATGAGTCAGAATTGACTCAACGTTAACTAATTTTATTTGACCAGAAATGGTAATGTGTCCCCGTGATAGCTTCTGTGAGCCTTTCCTCTTAGGGAAACCTTTCCCAGAGCCCTTTGGAATGAAGGCTGACCTAACTTTAAGTATGGAGCCATTTTAAAGTGATAGACAGCCAGCCATAGAGTCAACCCTTTTGGATGAAAACCACAGCCTGAACGTTATCCAAATATTCCAGAAAGCTCACACTTCTTTGCACCACCCATCAGGTATTTTTGGTTTGTTTCCTTTTTAGAAATAGCTTTTAAAAACAAAAACAAACCAAAAAAAGACTGATTGTAAAAGTCGACTGTAGTCGTTCTAAAAAAGTCCAAAATATCTGTGAATGTGTGTCAAAGTAAATCAAAGTCTTCCAGTGATAATCCCTATAAACATTTTCATGCCTCAGTTCTTAAATTAAGAGCCGCCTTGTTGTGAAGAAGGTAGGCTGACTGTTTTGCTACTCTCCTGAGGTCAGATTATTTCTTATTCCTTCAGTAGACTCACTTACTTGTACTTTCAACCACGGTGAAATTAGGTGGGTTGGGTGGATGTTGAACATATGGGCCTGTTGACTGAATCAGGAGAGAGTGACCAGCGTCAGCACACTAGGGTCAGAAAAAGCCACTGCCTCTGCCTGTCCTGGGCTTTGTGGAAATATACCTCAGACCTCAGGGCTAACCTGGTTTGCTGAGCTCTCCATCCCTGCCACCTCCTCCCCTTGGCATTTGCTCCTCTCCTTTCTGTGTCATGAACTCACTTTTTGTCTGTGTGCCTCTCTGGTTTGTTTTGAAGAGAAACCCACTTTTCCTCTCCCCAGCTCCACCTCGGCCTGCTCCAGGCGCTGGCCCGCATGAGTGTGCCTCTGGCTGCACCCACCCTGGCCATTAACGAGATGCCATCTTTTCCTACAACCTGAACAGCTTTTGTGCTCTGTCGGCAAAGATAGTTCAGATGTTACTTCTGACTTTACCATGCCTTTCTTTTTTGTAGCTAACACCACTCTCTTAGACCTTCCTGATGACAAAGCAATACCCCTTAGTTATCAACCAGTTGAATTTATCATCCTGGCTTCTGATGAGCATTTTAAAAGCAGGAATCCCAAGTGAACATGGACCTTGTTTTGGTGCCTTGCATTTTGCTATGAGGACGTTTTCCCATTCAGGTCAGAAGGAAAGTGTCAGCCATATAGTGATCTGTACAGTACAGCTGCAAGGTGGGCATGGTTAAACGAGTTGTGAAAACTAGCAGTGAAGCCAGACCCTGACAAGTGTCCACACCAGATGGGAATACTGGCGCAGGACAGCAGTATTTGAACAAATAATTGGGTCTGCGTCTTTGGTGACCTTGGTATGAGATACTGCCCAAGGCATTGTACACAATGTAGAAGAGAGTGGTTCAAGACCCGTCTTTGCCCCTTACTAGACCTTGGGTACATCACTTAACTTCTCTGGTCCTCAATTACTTCATTGGTCTAATTGAGGTGGTCTCAAAGCCAGTGTTCAGATCCTGTGAGCCTGTGGGAGCCCCTGCGTGGTACAAACGGTTAAACACTCAGCTGCTCACTGACAGGTTGGTAGTTCAGGTCCTCCCAGAGACACCTTGGAAGAAAGGCCTGGCAGTCTACTTCCAAAAATCAGGCATTGAAAACCTTTTGGAGCAGAGTTCTACTGTGACGCACATGGGATCAACACGAGTCATAATGACTCACTGACAACTGGTTTCTGAGCCCCGGAGCAATAACCCTGCCACCTGCTTAAATAAAAAAGGAAGGAGAGGTAGGGGTGGCTTTGATCAGCCAGTAGTGAGGGGGTTGCTTTGACACGAAAACTGGCTTTTTTGAAGTTGGAGTAGGCAACACATTTAAATAATCAAGGACAATCACACCAAAGTATTGTAACAAGGAGTTTCCTTTCTTGTTTTTTTTTTTCTTTTCTTTCTTTTTTTTTTTTTTTTTTACTTCTCTTATTTCATTATAGGAGATTCAGGTAATCTTCTCTGCAGTGTTGCTGGAAAAATGATCCTGGAAAGAATGAGGAGAAGGGTTGCTGCCTGGTGTGTGTGTGTGTATGCTTTGGTTGCGACTGTGACATCTTTTCTTCTCTCTCCATTCCATTTGCTGGCCAGCAAACTTGTTTACATCCCTTTCATGTCTCCCTGTCCTACCTCAGGTAAGGTTTGCCGTCATTGCTTCAGAGGGTATCAGGAGGCACCAAGGTGGGATGACCCTGAATTCACCTCATGTTTATTGAGACTGGAGTTTAATAAGATAATTTTTTTTTTTTTTAACCAAACCTGTAATGAATTATGCTGCCGCCAACAGGCAGCTTCACTTGAATAAACTGCCTACTGTAGAACAGAAATTGAGGATTTAGCTGCTGCCCTGGAAGACATCTGGGAGGAACAGACAGCAAAGGGTCCTATTCATTCTTGGTATTGCACTTTGCCAGCAATGGCTATCCGAAATATCACCGAAGTCTGACAACAATGGTACCAACTCTTGATTCAGGAGGAAAACTCTGTGTGGAAATATTTTTCTTCTGTTTCCTTTATTACATTATCTCTTCTTCTTCTCTCTTTTGCCCCTTCTTTCCTTCCTGCAGTTGCTCTACCCACAAGTACAAAAACCCATCTTCCTATGTATATTTCAGTAATTTTTCTGTAAAGACGTTTATTACCTAGAAATGGAGTAAATAAGACACTGCAACATCACGAGGACAGACAGCAATGCACAGAAAGCTGAACTGCCGTCTAAGATGACTTCTAAAGCAGTGTTGATAAACTTCACTCTTTTTCAGAAATAAGAAAAGAAGTCCAAGTAACTGATCAGTCATGATCTTGAAATTATTCTGACAGCTGGGAGCCAAACAACAAATTTAGAAAGATGCTCTTGAAAGGATGCTTCTTACTTGTTTTTAAGTTGGATTCATTATGTCTGTTAACTCTTTTAATGAACTGGGTCTTTTTTATTGTGCCTAGTCTGAATCACATGTCTTTGTGATTCGGGGATTAGCGTAGTTAAGCCACCACCTCTTTTGTGAAATTCCATTTAGATGTGTATCTTCTTAAATACAGTTGTTTGATGGAGCAAGCTTTTCTTGTATTAAAGTGTACTTCCCTTGCCATTTTCCTTCACATTGCATTTTAAATAAAAAATCAACAACAACAAAGCCAATGCCATCAAGTTGATTCCGACTCATAGAGACCCTATAGGACAGAGTAGAACTGCCCCATAGGGTTTCCAAGGAGCGGCTGGTGGATTCAGACTGCCAACCTTTGGGTTAGCAGCCGAGCTCTTAACCACTGCACCACCAGGGGTCCACATTCTAAGTAGAAGCTGATAAATACCTACATGTTGGAAAAGATGGGAACTAAAGCAAAAATTCTAGAGGGAAGCTCCTGCAGCCCTGTTTCACAAACATGGATTGCATGAGGTGTATACTTACACAGGTAGCATCTTCTAAAATATGTAGCCTAAACCCTGCATACAACAACCTCAAATTAGTTATACACACAAACCCATAGTTTAATGTATTTTTAGTTGGGCTTGCTCTCTTCCCCCACCTTTTTTTGTGGTAAAGCCATGCTCTCTATCCTTGTTCAGAACATCTTATTATACTGGTTTGCAGGAGTTAAGCTCATCCAAGTCTATATCCAGCCAGTATTTACTGCCATGCGTAATCACCAGGAAGGGTATTTAGAGTTCCAAAGAAAATTAACCAGCGTGAGTTCTGGGAGGGCTGGGTCAGTCTTGAGGGTATGGCCTGTGCTCCTGTTCAAAGCTTTAAGTAAACCTCTATTTCATGATTTTCTGAAGTCCAGAATTTTGTTATATGACAGAAATTGCAAGTGTTTAAAAGGGTATATTAAAAAAAAGAAAATCCAGTGCTGCATCTTTTTCATTTTTTAAGTGTAGAAGACACTTAAAAACTGCCAGCCTTTTGGTTAGCAGCCAACCGTTCAGCCACTGTGCCACCAGGGCTCCATCTGTAGGGCTTTGACCAACACCTGCCGTGAATTTCAAAGATGAGCTCTAAGGGAGCACAGAGCTTACTTAAAAGATGAGGCAAAGCCACAATTATTTCAGAGCTTTCAGAAAGTGGGTAAGATGTCCTGAGATGTCACTACATTTTCCTTGACCTTTAAGAGTTTCAATGGCCACACTTGCCTACATCTTCTCCTCCTATTTTCTCATTATGACCTGCAAACAGTACCCACTAACCCAAGTTACTAGGAAGTAATTCTCAAATTTTCCTCCCAAAGCACACATTTTCATAAAACTTAAAAAAGGTGTGCTTTCGCCAGGGACTTCTTGACTTAGCCCCTTTCTTGAAGAGACTAGGCTCTGAATTCTGTGTTCAGTTGTTCTCAGCCCGGTCAGAACTTCCCATGTATCCCCACACTGCCTGTTGAGTCTGGGGATCCTTGAAATCGAAATAAAGTTGTTTTACTATCTGCTCACTAGTATCTGGTCACTGGAGTCTGTGCATCTGAGATTATAGTATAGTTCAGTGACTAAATTTTCTCCTCAAATTAACTGGAGTTTAAAATTAAAACAAGCTAGAGAAGATTAAAGAAAACCTCTTTCTTCACCATTAAAAGAAGGAAGTATTATATAAGCTAGCTTTTTAAAAATTATGTATGTTAGTATTATATAAATTAGAAACCCATAAGTCAAAAAGTGTTGCCCTCTTATCCTTTGATACATTGAGGATTTGTACTGCCCATTCACAACTTTGCATAACACATATAATCATCCATAATATAAATATATGCATATATGTATATGCAAATATATTCATACCATATACAGGTAGTCCCTGACTTATGACGTATTTGAGTTATGACTAACCGCACTTAGGACCACCTGTTTTTTTTTTATGATTTGTGTTTTTTTATGTATGTATTAAAATATATCTGTAAGTTTATATGTAATGTTTCCAACCCCTAAAGACAAATAAAGATTGGATTTATAAAGATACTGATAATAAAAGACAATGAAAACTAAAAAAAAAACGAGGTGTTCGACTTACATCAGAACCGACTTACACCAGAACCGACTTACACCAGAGTTTTCGAAACGGAATGCCATCATAAGTTGGGGACTACCTGTATTTAAGACTCTATATAACATGTGTTATCCACTGAAATATAATTATTCATGTATATACATAAAGGAAGATAGTCTATAGTTAAGACTACATAATGCTTATTTAGAGATATACTTATTCTATCCACATACACACACTTGCCAAGGCTTCCCAATTGATCCTTTAGGTTAAATATTTTCTTCTTAAAAGCATTCAATCGGTTACAAATGTCTTTTTGTTTGTCCCCCAGGATACTATGGGGACGGCCTAAATGCCATCATTGTGTTTGCCGCCTGTTTTCTGCCAGACAGCAGTCGGGCGGATTACCACTATGTCATGGAAAATCTTTTCCTGTGAGTGATACTTATGACAACGTGCTTTGAATTAATGTCTGTGGGCATGGAATGGCAGATAGAGCACCTTTAATTAAAGGAGAATATTCTAAGGCTTTGATAAAAAAAGTTAATGAAATCTCTGTCGAGAAACACATGGCTCAAGAGACTAAAACCTTTCAAGGGGCTCTTCTGTCAATAGAATGGATTGAAAACAAAATGAACACATTTTGGCCTGCGTTTTTAAATCCTGTAACACTTCTTTTGGGTGAAATATTATTTTTGTTCCCCAATAACATGTTCTTCATCAACTGACAATAACCTGACTTTGTTTTCATCTGCCCCTATTTAATCTTAGTTTTCTTAGTATTTGATAACATTGTTGACATTTTGAAAGTCAGGTTTCTGACCCAAACATATACTGATGTACCTGATTAAAAAAAAAAATCACCATAAAAATAACCGAGCAATGCTCACTCTCAGAGAAATGATCTTAGTAGGTAACTGCATCCTTCTCAAGGTGAAGAGGTAAAATGCACAGCTATTAATGTCATACACCCTGTCATTTAAATGTTATATAATTACAGTGTAAGTAGAATGGAGTATTTCGTGTGGGAACTGAAAACACTCCTCTTCCTTCCTGTGATCAGATACGTAATAAGTACTTTGGAGTTGATGGTAGCTGAAGACTATATGATTGTATATTTGAATGGCGCAACCCCAAGACGGAAGATGCCAGGGCTAGGCTGGATGAAGAAGTGCTACCAGATGATTGACAGACGGTATGTGGACTCCATTATTTAATCACTGTTTTGACTTCCTTAGTAGCCCCCACATCTAATCCCTTTTAATCTACTAATGGTGCAATCACATTTTATGAACATTTGAATTCTGCATATTGAAAATAATAAATTATAAAAATATCAATATGTGTACCACTTGGTGCCCCAAATTTGAAATAAAGCAAACCCTCCCAAGATTTTTTAAAATGTTGTAATCTCAGACCTGATGAAGTCTGTTTTAAACTGTGCATGTGCTGTTTCCTCATGGAGGTGCACCTTGAGCTGATAAACCAAAATACCCATGATTCTTTACTGGTGTCATGTGATCCTGCTGCTGTTTATGTGCATTGAAACTATTGTGATTTGGACAGCCATTATGCTCTTATTTCAACAGTCACTGTTAATTCAAGTTAATGTTAACCCCTAGCCCATACAGTACCTTTGTGTGAACTGGAATCCATACTAATTTTATTAGAACAAAACATTTTATTACCATCTGCAGGGAAATTGTCATAATCAACATACATATATATTGGATGTCTATGACATGCATGGCGTCCCCTTGGATGCGGCTCCTTGCATAACAACACGAGTACCCTCTTATACTAATTAAAAAATCCACTTTATAATCTAAACATTCATAAAGTAGCATTGACTATGCTGAGAAGTGTGCCTGAAAATCAGTAACACTGAAATAGTAATCTTAAGGCCATACAACCACCATGATATACTGTTACTGTTTCTAGTTCATAGAAGAAGAAACCAAGGCTCAGTGAGATCAAATAACTTGTCTAAGTTGCTGTTAATAGTGTATGCTCTCCGAAAGAGTAGAGATGATGCTGACAAATATAAAAAGCATTATTAAACCAAAATATGTCATGATAGTTATAGATGGATGCACTCTAAGAATACAACCATTCTATTTTACCTTTATTCCTATTGGAAAATTAAGTTTGAATTACACAAATTTTGAATTATGTCTCAAAAAGCATTCTTTTTGTTAATCGTGGCCATTGTATACTTTCCTACCAGATAATAGTAACTTGCTTAGAACTCCCTAAAATTACATATATTCTTATTTGATGATATAGTTTCTATTTTAATTCCCAGTGAAAAAGGTTAAGAGTAATTTTTCCTTCCGTTTTTCAAAATAGGTTACGGAAGAATTTGAAATCATTCATTATTGTTCATCCCTCTTGGTTCATCAGAACAATCCTTGCAGTGACACGGCCTTTTATAAGGTATACTTAGTAAAAGTATTACTACTAGTTTTTTTTAAAATATGTATTCATTGTCCCATAAACAAGGATGTCATAAACTAAGAGAGTAGTTAGGAAAATATATTTAGTCTCCTCCTTTCCTGAAAAGATACTTTGGACTCTCCATCAGGAGTCCCTAATTAAGAATGAGAATTGTTTCGTAAAGAATGTTTTCCCTTCTGATCATTATAGAACATCATCTCTAAATTATTTGCTATAAACATGGGGATGAAGTGGTAGAGTTTTTATTACACATCAGGAAGAGGAGTAGGCAATAAATTTAAAGCAATATGCTATTTTATAGAGAAAAAAAGGGAGAGCAAAGTGGCGGTGGAAAATAAAGACTAACCAAGGACAGAAACAGGAGTCAGACCTTGTCTTACTTGTCCCATTTCTTCTGAACAAATATAGTGTAGATCATTTTCAGGGCTGGGTTTTGATCATCCATGAGGATTCTTGGTTTCCATTCAGTTCAAATTGGTAAATATTTATTCAGCACTTATTTTATGTTAAGAGCGCAACTGCTGATCAAAAGGTCAACAGTTCGAATCCACCAGCCACTCCTTTGGAGACCTTTTGGGGCAGTTCTACTCTGTCCTATAGGGTCGCTATGAATTGGAATCGACTCGAGGGCAATGGGTGGTATTTTATGTTACTTACTCTATCCGTACATTTTGGAGATGCAATGAAAAGTAAGATATCCTCATAATATAGTAAGACTTGAAACAGTTAAATTTTATTTTCTAGAACACTTTAAAAATATAATAGGATACAGTCTTGCCTAAAGTCCGGTTGCAGCTTAGATAAGACTTTAAATAAATCAAAAATTTTCTGTCTCAAAGTTATTAATAAATTCCTCAAGAAACTTCTGATAATTTAACCCTGGAGAAAAAAATTTGAGGGTAAAATCCTTAATATCTTTTTGCATAGATTTTACTATGCCATCCAGATCCTACCTTTTTGTTCAGTGTTCGCTTGTATTTATTTAGCATTCCAAATGTCTACTTCTAACAATTAAGGAGCAGGATTAGTCTAGTTTCTCTCTGGCAGTTCAGCCCTTTACCATACAATGTTACTTTGCTTTAAAAAAGAAAAAATTAAGAAATATTTAAGGTATACAAAAAGCCACTTATTTTAATAACACCAAATACTTTGACAAGGGAATAGGAATCAGTGCACACTAATGAGTTTATAAAAGGTTTGTTGTTGTCGTGTGCCAATGAATCGATTCAGACTCGTAGCCACCCCATGTAACAGTAGAATTGCCTCACAGTGTTTTCTAGGCTATAATCTTTATGGGAGCAGATCACCAGGTCTTTCTCCCATGGAGCTGCTGGATGGGTTCAAATTGCCAACCTTTCGGTTAGCAGCCAAGCACTTAACCGTTGTACCACCAGGGCTCCCTATAAAAGATTTAATGGGTAAAAAAGTAAACATTAGCATCGATATTGATTCATTGATGTTTGTTTAATAACTCAACTCTTAGGTATTATATACATGAAATTTATTTTTTCTTGATAAACACTAAAACTTTTATTACTATAACCAAAAAACCAAAACCAAACCTGTTGCCGTCAAGTCATTTCCAACGGACAGCAACCCTATAGGACGGAGTAGAACTGCCCCATAGGGTTTCCAAGGAGCAGCTAGTGGATTCAAACTGCTGACCTTTTGGTTAGCAGCCTGAGCTTTTAACCACTGCGGCGCCAGGGCTCCATTTTAGAATATTGAAATATAATTCAGCACTATTTTTTAAAATGAGTTTCAAGATAATAATGATGACAAAAATAATTATAAAATTATAGTAAATAGTGTTGTGGTAAATTACATTAATAATTTATTGAGTGCTTACATGAATCATTTTGTTTAACCCTAATGACAGTCCTCTGAGGAGGGTGCTGTTTACTATTTCCATTATATAGATCAAAACCCTGAGGCTCAGTGAGGTCAAATAAATTGTCCAAAGCAGGAGCCAGTAAACTTATTGTGTACAGGATCAAATAGTAAATATTTTAGGTTTTGATAGCCATATGGTCTCAGTCACAACTACTCAACTCTGCCGTTTTACCGTGAAAGCAGCCATAGATAATACGGAAACAAACGAGTGTTGCTATGTTCCAATAAAACCTTATTTATGAACACTGAAATTTAATTTTATGTAATTTTCAAAAGTCACAAAATATTCTTTTTTGATTTTTTTTTCAAATATCATTTTAAAAAAACATTTAAAAAAAAGAAAAAACATTTCTTAGCTCACAGGCTATAAAAAAAATCAGATTGTAAGCTGTTTGCTGACCCCAGATCTAAGTAACACAACCAGTAAATGACAGAGTCAGGCTTTGAACCCAACTGCCTGCTGATTAAAGAACCAGCATTTCAAGTACCTAGCCATTGTCTTATACAGTTTGAGCCGGTAAAACCTTCCTTAAGAGCCCTCTTTTGAATCAGTTTACATCAGTGTGACCAACTTGTAGACCTGAAACAAAGGCCCACTGAAATGTATGGCTCCTAAAGAGTAACATCTGTGTTAAAGGCATATGGCAAATTCATTCTTTAACGAGTTATTTGTCTATGTCAAGCATTGGGTTAGGTGCTGGAGACTGAGAAATTCATTGGCTCCGTTGCTGTCCTCAAGGAGTTCACAGCCAAGCAGCAGACATAGGCAGACATGTAAACAGTTGTATACAGGGCACAACGGAAGCACTTTGGGGGATGAAAACTCGAGGTGCGGCTGAGTTTCGGGGTAATGTATAGAGAGCGAAGGCTGAAAATCTGCGTCAAGAAAGGTTTTTCAGCAGAGTTAACCTTCAAGGTGATTTTCGAAGGATGAGTAGGTGGGCTAACTGACATCAAGGAGGATAATCCAGGTAGAGGAAACAGCATGTACAGACAGACTGAGAAGGAAGGAACGTGGTCTGTTTACAGAACTCTAAGTTCTAGTAATTGTAACACTGGAGATGGAAGGTTCCTCCTTGCATGTCCTCTTCGTCTTCCTCATTCCACCACTCTATCTTTCATTAAAACCTGGATTTAGCTCAAAAAGTCCAAGGAAGAGGCCTAATGTGTGTCATGGGTAGTGTGTGTTCACCCGAGATTTATCAAGAGGGCTAGAACCGACTGTGTTAAGAGGAAAGTTGCTGGTTTGTTCACAAGTCAGAGCCAGTGGCCCCGGGCCAAAACTGGAACTAAAATATCAAAGATAGACATATGAAGAGATGACCTAGCAAAAACTTCTTACTAGAATGCGCAGCAGTTGGCAGATAGCTCAGCATGATCCCTGTAGACTAGGGTAGCCTTTTCATTTCAAACCGTTCAAGAATGTTAGATCCTTGAGCAATTTCCCATTCAAGTGGAATAATATATTTTTGAAATTAGTTTAAAATTAGATATATTTTTGAAAATGGTGTAAATTCGAAATAGTACAGAAATGCATTCTTTTTATAAAATGTTCAATCATTACCAATGAGACCAAGTTCTTCCTATATCACCTACCAATTCTTGTTCCTAATCCCCTTTCCCAGAGGCAATTGTAATGATCAATTTCATTGGTATCCTTCTAGATTGCCATCTCTGAATTTATGTACATCTAAAATGGTGCTAACAGTTAAACTCTCAACTTCTAACCTAAAGGTTGGCACTTCAAACCCACCCAGAGGTGCCTTGAAAGAAAGGCCTAGCAGTGTACTTCTGAAAAGTCACAACCATGAAAACCCTACGGAGCATAATTCTACTCTTGAAACATATGTGTTCACCATGAGTTTGAATCGACTTGATGGCAACTGGGTGTTTTTGGTTTTAAAATGATAACATTTAGATGAAAGCTGTTTGTAATCCAAATCTAATCATTGGACCACAGTTTGTAACGTTGGCCCATCTGGGATGTGCTCTCAAACTAAAACTAAAAAGAAAAAAATTTTAATAAAATGAAAACCAAAAAATTAGAGAGGGAAAATGAGTTTATATATTCTTTTAAAATATCAATTTTGGTAGATTCGAAAAAAACTAAATGATGTGATTTTTGTTTATTAAAAACATGCAAATGAAGACAAACCATGAACCAGTGACTGTTGAGAATGGTAGAAACACCAAGAGGCTGAGCAAGGTGTGGTGATGAGCGTGGACTCTGCAGTCAGCCTGCTGGGTTCAAATCCAGGCTTTTCCACTTAGTGATGGCAAGACCTTGGGCAAATACTTTACTCCCTGTGTCTCAGTCTCCTTATCTTTAAAAAGAGAATAACAATAGTACTTACTATTGCTAGGCTGTAATAAGAAACAGATGAGTTAATATATGTAAACCATTTAGAGCTGTCTCTGATGCATAGTAATTACTCAATAATGTTAACTTTTCTTCTTATTAAGAGCCCTGGTGGCTCAGTGGTTAAGAGCTACTGCTGCTAACCAAAAGGTAAGCAGTTCGAATCCACCAGCTGCTCCTTGCAAACCCTATGGGGCAGCTCTATTCTGTCCTATAGGGTCGCTATGAGTCAGAATCGATTCAACAACGGGTTTGGTGGCACAGTGATTAAGCGCTCAGGCTGCTTATTGATGGGTCAGTGGTTCAAACCCACTAGCAGCTCCTTTGGAAAAAGATGTGGCAGTCTGCTTCTGTAAAGATTACAGCTTTGGAAACCCTATGGGGCAGTCCTGTTTTGTCCCATAGGGTTGCTGTGGGTTAGAATCAACTTGATGGCAACAGGTCTTTTTTCATCTTTTTTCTTATTAAGAGCGCCGAGGCAAGATGTTAAGTGATATCAGGATTTTCGAGAAGAGGCAGCAGCTTTAGGAGGGATGAAAGAGCAACTAATGATATTTTTTTTCTTTTTTTTTAGTTCAAAATTCAGCAGTAAAATTAAATATGTCAGTAGCTTATCAGAACTCAGTGGGCTGATCCCAATGGATTGCATCCATATCCCAGAGAGCATCATCAAGTAAGTCCTGACAGTTTAGAAGATTTGGTAAGAAATGATGCATGTCTGGAGAAGAGGTAGGAAATGAACTCACTTTGGAGTGGTGTGGAAAAGGCATTATCTTATTTTTAAAATAAAAATCCAGTGTCCTCCAATAAATATATTTTCTCTGACAACCTGCAGTTAACTCTTGTTTCTTTCAGACCCCCTTTCACATAATCTGCTTTGATATTATTGATGATTGCTAATCCTCACCTTGAATTTTGCTACCATCTTGGAGAAAGCATAAATTTAACATTTATCAGTACATCTGTTCCCTGCGGCCCCTCCCTGCAGAGACACAGTAGGATCTTAGCATAGCTTGGATTTCTTTACTGTCTTACAGAGAGTAATTTATTTGTATGACCATAGGAAAGTAGAAAAAAACTACCCTTTCTCTGTTTTCTTCTAAATCCATTTTTTCTTGATTCCCTTCAGGTGAAAGATTAGACAGATGGTGTGCGCCCAGTGGTGGGTGGACTGGTTATGAATGATTTCCTAGCTCAGGACCGGGTAGCACCCCCGCAGCGTGCAAGAGGAAAGAAAGCATGGGCACTGAAGGGCTCAGGATTGTGCTAAAAAATAATAATAGTAAAAGTTAACTGAATAACTGCTTGGAGCTGAGACTTGAAAACCCAGATAGCAGGAGAATGAACACTCCTATTTGGTTCATTGTTGCAAAGACCTCTTGTTTTCTGTGTATCGTGTCTTTTCTCCCACTGTGTCTGATTCACTCGTTTTTTGTTTGGACTAGAATTGAGAGAGGCTTACTCATCAAATAAAACAGACAAGCATCCTGCATCTTCTTTCATAAGGTAGATAGCAAAATGACCTCCCAATCCGGGCTTCCAAAAAAGAGTCCCATCACTTTTTAAAAAGGCACAGGAGCTGGAAGGAAAGGACTCTCATTGAATGTCTTTCTCTGTTGTGCTAGGCACAGAGGTACTCTATTTATATCATTTATTTAATCCCCACAAAATGTAAAACTCACATTTTACAGATGAGGGGAAATAACTTAGGAAGGAGAAGTTATTTACGCAAAGTCACACAGCCAGGAAGAGACGAAACTAGAGTTCAAATCCAGGGCAGCCTGGCTGCAAAATCTCCATGCCCTTTTCCAATGGATTCGTTTGCTTACTTAAAAGTATTCATCTAAATTCAAAGTTCAGGAGTAGATATATTTGGTTTTCTTACATCCCAGAAGCAGGCATGAAGACAGGATACTTGCTGGGCTTACAGTGGTCAGTTGGCTCAACTGAATCAAGTAGTTGGCTCAGCTGAATCAGCCATTAAAAACCCTACGGAGCACACTTCTATTCTGACATACATGGAGTTGCTGTGAGTTGGAATTGACTCAACAGCATTTGGTTTACTATCTAAAAAAAAAAAAAAAGAAGAAGAAGCAGAACACCCACTTATCATAATGCAATTTCCCTTTGTAAAAGATGACAAGGACATGCTCTCTTCCAACAGACATGAGCCTTAGACTCTTTGCAGGTGAATACAGTAATAGTTTCCGTGGTGTGACAGTTGGAGGTAATAGAGTGAAGAAGAGAGGAGAATGAGCTTTGGAGTATTAGATTTGAACCTTCCCTCCTACTTCTTAATGTTCCTGAGTCTTCAGACAACCTATTAACACTCTCTGAGTCTCAGCTTCAGCATCTGCAAAATGGGAAAGTAATGTGCACTTCGTGGAATTGTCTTGAGGACTGAATGAGAACCATGCATATATAAGGTAGTTAGAAAGCCACCTGGCACAGAATTGGCAATCCAGAATGTTATTCTGGATCCTTATTATGATCGTGTTGCTTTCAGAAACTCATTATCGTATGAAAAAGTTTAGCTGACAACTCACAAATCCATACATGTTAGTGTTCAAGGTCTCCACTTGGGGAAATTTACTTCAGGAGGAAGGATTCCATTTGGAAGTATTTTCTTCGGGAGGAAGAAGTTTGAAGCTATTCATGTTCTCCTCAAGTGTCCATGTTTTCTTTATCCATCTCTTCTGGACATCTTGTCTGCCATTTTTATTGACCCTCATAGTCTCATTTTCACATTATACAGTTTTTAAATTGATACAAGCCACACCTCCTTCCTGTTACTGAATAACATTCAAAGAACCTGATCTCGGCTAATCTGAGAATCTGATCTTGGCCCATCAGAGTATTCGGCTGGGATAGAGTCTGTCATCAAAGGGGCTGAATGGAAAAAAACCTTGCCCAACCTGGAATCACATTTATAATTAAATTTATAATTATAAACTATTGATTGTATCTAATAAAAATCATATTTCTCCCAAAAGGCAATTTGATCCTCATTTGGGTAAGCTTTTTCTCTCATACTTTGACTGTCTTTTAAAACATTTACTTGTCATTTTTCCATCTGTTTGCTCATTTTCCTCACTACATCCGTTTTTTATCTCGTAAGGTACGATGAAGAGAGATCTTATAAGAGAAGTGTGAGGTAAAAAAAATCTCCTGATCTATGATTCACCTGGACCCTGTGTGTGTGTGTGCGCGCGCGCCAGTGTTTTACTCGTGGGTGACCTCAACACGCTACAGAGCAAGAGTGCGTCCTATCAGTCCATTGTTTACCACTCCTGTCTTTGTCTTGTGTCTAAAGCTGTTGAGGTCAACCTGATTTGCAACTGAAACCTACTAAACCAGATCCATCCCTGACTTGGCCGGGGCTGCAAGCTAACTTTTAACTGTACTCAGCAGACGGATTTGGAGGTTCTCAGCTTTCCTCAGACAGCATGTTTCTGATCCCCTTGCACCATTTATACCTTCCTTAGGAAGGAATTTGTGAAGAACTAAGGGAAGCATCAGAAGCAGCTAAGTAAGACTTGGTTGTCATTTAGCAGCTAACATGATGTTGGCTTGCATTTCAGGAATGAATTGGAAGAAACTGCATGCCTTGTGTCTTGTATTTGCATCCTGATCATAATGCTGCACTTTAAAAATTCCCTTTCTCCCCGTATATGCAATTTCTTTTATTCTTTTTAAAATGTATGTATATGTTAGTGTTTTCAGAAAAAGTTTACACAGCAAATTAGGTTCCCACTTGACAATGTCTATAAGAGTTGTTCAATGGTATTATATAATGTGTCAACGTTCTCTTAAATTCTGTCCTAGTTGTTCCATCTATTATTCTTACTATGATGTATTTATCCCCATGATCTTGATTATTTTGAGGAAGGCATTTGTTGCTTAATTTTTTTAACGTCCATAAGATTTCAGGCACCAGAGCAAAAGAACACATCACAGGCACTGCCACATAAGATGTGACATCCAGATGGTTATTAAATATATGGAGACAACAAACTTTACAAATTTATTCTAATGAAGAGAAATGAGGACAAGTCAAAATTTGGAATTCTTTTGTAGACTCAATTTCATGGCTTTGGAAGATTAAAAACAAAAAAACAACCTATTTAGTGGCTTGGAAATATTGCTTGACTAGCATCCTCTGAGCTATAAGAAATAGAAAAAAATTATTGTTTACTATTATTATAGTTTTCCAAAAGACAAAATCATACCTCTTATGCAAATATAAAATGAATACGTCCGTGATCTTATTTGACTCATTATTTAATGAGGAACCAACAAAATGTTAAAGCTGGTTCACAGAGTATTTGATAAATTAGATATTTATAAGCAATTTAAATTTAATAATTTAATAAAAATCTAATAATTTAATATTCCTGTTAAAAGGAATATTAAAATAAAATGATTGGATTAGATACAACGCTGGTTAATGTCCAACAGGGCAATAAACTGTAACGTTGGGTTATCTTTTCCATTGGACAGAAATGATTTGCATCTCTACTGGACAAAAATCTACAAGTTAACCTCTGCCCCTACAGAGTTGTAAAATAGCCCAGTCACTAGAAAGTCAGCCCAGCACTGTTCTGAAAGAACATCCAGTAACTTCCTTTTCCTAAATTTTATGCCACAATATCTTAAATGTAACCAACTGCTGTTTGGAAAGTTTGCTGTGTTCAATATTTAAGCTTCCTTCCCATTGTAATGTTGCTTACACTGTTAGTTTTTATAACCAGCTTCCATTTTCATAGATATTGCATAAGCAGAAAGCCTGGACAATGCCTAAACAGCTACAAATTCCAAATAAATAAGATCTAAATTAGTGAGATTATTCTGCATAGCTTTAAATGCCAATTCTTCCATTAAAACAATCCATTTAGTCTTTTTTTTCCTACTACACATTTTTATTATAGGTAGCCTGTGGAGTTATTTGCCTATAGTGTGGATATTTTTGGATTAAAAATTAAAGGTTTTTGCTTTAGAAAGCTTAACATCAGTAGAGTGTACTGTTAGACTATTCCTGTCCTCTAATTTTCTTTCAAGATAACTAACAACTATTTAGACTAACGTAATTCAAAATTATATCAGTTTTTACTCTGACAGAATCATCTGAGTTCTAACGCAACAGTCTCTAACACAACTATTAGAAACAAGAAGCTGTGGGAATGAGGAACATTAGGAATCCAGGAAACAAATGCTGTTTCAACCTTTAGCATTTATCTGCAGTCAAATTCCATTGAGTCATGAGAGTTCCCAGAAAAAGAAATGTTAATAAGTTTCTCTTTCAGATTCACTTTTTTTAGGATAATAACAAATCTGTGGAAATACAATGTTATATTAAAGACAAAACATGGGGTGAGGGAACATCAATAATTTTTCGGTCAACCCCATTATCAAGTCATATCATCATGTTTTTTCATTGTTACCATGAAATTTGCCTTCTTTCATAGATTTTTTTCCCCTCCATGCTTATTCTTTGTCTGCTTAGTTACCATATTAAAACAGTTCTCATTTTTGGTTTAGTTGTAGCTTTCCGTTATTTATTTGTTTTCTCAAATCTACCATTTTGCTCTCTTCCCCTCGCCTCCCCAACCCTCCCCCCACGCCTCCCCACCTGTACCCCAGGTATCTAAATGGTCGCCATTCTAAAGGGAGCAC